AGCTTCTGCCTTATCTCCTACCTGAACTTCCCCTGTTTCAGTCTGAGCCCATTACCCCTTGTCCTATCACTACAGTCCCTAATGAAGAGTCCCTCTCCAGCATCCTTGTAGCCCCCTTCAGACACTGGAAGCTGCTCTGAGGTCTCCACGCAGCTTCTCTTCTCCAGGCTGAGCAGCCCCAATGTTCTCAGCCTGTCTCCATACAGGAGGTGCTGCAGCCCTGAGCATCCTCGTGGCCTCCTCTGGACTTGCTCCAACAGCTCCATGTCCTTCTTATGCTGAGGGCACCAGCACTGCGCACAGTGCTGTAAGTGGGGTCTCACCAGAGCAGAGCAGAGGGGCTTGGCTTTGGCAGGTTGGTCCCATTTTAGAGGTTTAGGGGTTGCTTCATAGTTGAGAGGCACAAGGCTCAAGGTGATGGTGAAATGGTCAACCCTAAAATGAATACCAGTATCAGTTTTCCTTTATCACTGTGCCTACAGAATGGAAATCAAACTGGATGATCCTTATGGGTCCCTTCCAACTGGGTATATTCTATGACTCATGAAATGGTTTGGGTTGGAAGGGACCTTAAAGCTCATCCAGTTCAAATCCCCTGCCACAGGCAGGGCCACCTTCCACTAGAACAGGTTGAAATGCAAATACAATTGAATAAGAGTATCCCATAAGATACCACTTGGACATAAACATACTGCCATAAAGAAGCCATAAAAGCTCTTTTCCCCAGGGATTACATGGCCAGGCTCCTCTGCATGGCTCCCATTTGCTCACATGGGTCTGTGCCATCACGGCAGGGCTTGCTGGGTGCTGCAGCATCCCCGGGCTCAGGGCACAGCCAGGTGCTCAGCAACTTCAGGCACACGTGGGGTCAGCTCTTAAAGCAGCACAGAGACAATAGGAGCCCTCCTGCTTTTCAGCCCATCCTCCTGACCACCCACCAGGGAAGAAGGGGGGAAAAAAGAGACAACAAAACAGCAAAAGCCCTGCCGGTTCCTCCGCTTTCGGTGACAGCAGCAGTGTTTCAAGCCGGTGTTTCCTGCAGGTGTGCTCCTACAAACGCCGCCTCTGAGCTCAGCGTTTTCTTTAGTCCTCGGCGTTTTGCCTTTTCACCTCATAAACCCCTTTCAAGCTAAACAAACGTCCTCACAAGAGGACGCCGAGGCACAGCCCAGCTCCAAAACCAACAGCCCGGGGTAGGACAAAGAGCAAAAATAGCAGCAGCATCCCCATCGGCACCAGCGCCGCGGCGTCCGACCTTGCTGCTGATTTGGTTTAATGACAGCATCGTCCCGCTCAGCAGTGTTAAAGCGAAGCAAGTGGTGGCCTGGGTGGATTAGAGGAGGGAGGGCGACCTTCAGGGACAACACGGGGTGCAGGGAGGGAAGGGAAAGGATGGAGGTGGGTGGGAGGACCTGCCCCTGCAAGGGTATCGCCATCAGTTCTTGCTGTCACTCATATCCAAGTGGTAGGAGATAGATCCCACCACTGCACCGTGGTTGTTTGTAAACCACTCATAGCCTTCAAGGGACAGAAAATGCTGCACGTTGCAGCTCTGAACCTCCAGCTCATGATGGCTGCATCCTTTATCTTTAGAGCATGGAACTTCTGCAGCTGGGGCAGCTTGCTGTGATCAAAGACGTGCTTGCATGTGTGTGATGGCAAGGGGCACGCGCAAGGCAAGATGTGCATCACCGGTGCCTTGGCTTCACATCCAGCCCTGTGTGACTTGATGGAAGAAGGGATGCACCAGAGAGGGTGTCCCACAGGGGGACATACAGTAAAGGGGAGATGAGATTTGGGTGAATAAGTCAAAGGCCTGACTTAGCCGCGCCGCCGCAGCTGTGCTCTTATCTGGCTGGAGGAAGAGGCTGAACAACAAAAGGGGCTAAGAAGCCGGGTTGATGCATGGGAAAGCCATTGGCCGAGCATTGTGGCTGCCCTTCTGCTGAGCAAATAGTTCAAACTGTTCATTCCCATCTCCTATTCTCTCCCTGGTACATTGTTTGTGTCCTTGCATTTCATTCTGCGAGGAAGATTGCTCTCTGGGCCTATAAGCAAACAGTCCAGAAAAGAGCCAACTATCCTCTCCTTTTCCCTGGAGAACTAGCATTTTTATTTCAGCTCCAAGCTGTCAAAGAGCTGGAGAGTTTATGTCAGTATCCTGAATTAATTGCTTTAAGCTGGAGCAGCCTATACCCGCCACCAAATGTCCAGAAGATGTTTATTAATAATGTTTCCTTTAGGGTTTTTTTGGGGGGGTTGTTCCAAGCTGTGCTCTCACATCCAGTGCCCTCTATTAACCGCCGCTGCAGCGCCGGATGCCGGGTGAGGGTGGCGAAATGAAAGCTGCTTATAGGGAATTATGAACAGCTCCCGAGGTATTGTCAGCCCCCGGTGCTCAACATGCCAGCCGGAGGCTCGGAATCCTCCCATCAGGAGTTTTTGGGGGGTCGGGAAGGAGAGGAGGAGGATGGATTGATGGAGGGATGGAGAAGGAGCGAGCCCTCCTTTAAACACAAATATCTTTGGTAATTAACCAAGGTGGCGAGGAAATTAGTGGTGGGAAAGAAATCAGCACATGCAAGGTAAATGGCTTTGTGTTTAAACACGATACATGTTAGAGGGTTCCCCAGTGTGAAAGTCCCTGTTTAAGGGAATGAAGTAATAAACCAATTTATATACCAATAGAAAGTCGAGATCCTGAGTGCCTTTGTGTAAATTTTCCACTTGACTTTTCATTATCTACCTGAACAAAATCAATCTATATGTATGGGATCAACATGCAATATGAGAGATAAAAGACGAAATAAATGTGCTTTGCATATCCCACGGATAAAAGCCGCCGGCTCCGGGCGCTGCCTCCTTCCCAGGCAGATGTGTTTTAGGGAATAAATCATTTTGCAAGGGAAGGAGAGCCGGGCAGAGTGGGGCTTCTTAAGTGTTTACTCCCTCGCTTGAAATATTGATCCTGTCAAATGAACAGTGGTTAATAAGTAACTCGGGGAAATATGTCGGCTCTGCCATTGCGGGAGCAGGACCCATCGCTGGACCCTGCCCGGCTCCTGGGCAGCACAACCCAGAGCATCCTCACTGCAGGCAGGACCTCAGGGCAGAGCCCAGCCAGGCTCCCGGCCCTTTGCAGGGTGGAGAGGATGAGCAGGGATGCAGCAGAGACAGTGGAGGGGGGACAAGTCCCTACAACCCCAGGGAGCCCTGAAACCCCAAACCCTCCAGCATCCCAAACCCCACTGCATCCTAAACCCTTCCACATCCAAAGCCCTGCCGCATCCTAAGCCCTGCCGTATCCCATTCCTCCTGCCTTGCCTGCACACCAAGGTACCATCCTATCACACGAGACACTGACACACAGATGCCTTGCCCTTGTCTTGCCCCAGCAGAAGCCATCCCTGACCCAAAATATCCCATTTCACCTGAGGGCAGAGCATTGCTGTCGGGTGGGGATCGGCTCTACTAAACTGGGTTAACGTGGAAACCACAGTAACACTTTGGGAATGTGGGAGCTGAGGACATAGCGCAGAGCAAGGAAAATGCTCCCAAATCTTTTCAAGCTGCACCAGTGAGCACAGATTTGGCTTCAGCATCCCAGTGAAACCAGCAGATAAAATACCTACCCTGCACTCCTATAACCCAGAGCCTCACTAGCCTGGAGCAAGTGCCCTGTCCTGTCACCGCGGCTTGGATGTCTTCTCTTTTCACCCATCCATTCTCCTCCCCTCTCCCAGGACCTGGTTGGTGTTTGGCTTTTGGCCACGACAAAGCTCATCTGGTTTCATGGATCCCAACACCTTGGAGAGCCGGGGAATAGCATCCTCTTCTTTTATGGTTAGGTGAAGAGGCAGGAACTCCTCGTGATTCCTTTTTTCCCCTTTAGTAACAGGATATAGAGAAGGTTAAGAGGCTCTTCAGTAGATACAACCCCCTCCTGGGCACAGAGGGTTCTTATGCTGCTGAAACCCAGCTCCATTCCTGCTTGATGTATCCCTCCTCCTCCTCACATCCTCAAGCACTCCACAGCCCCACAGCCAGGGAAGCACCTGCCTCCTGTGGGGTTTACATCTCTGAGGGTCTCTCCGCACCTCCTGCCTCTGGCAGATGCGCTGTGGGTTGGATATGGGCTTTCCTCCAGGTCACACATCAGATTTTTACCTTTCCTTGTGCAAAAGCTCCTTTCCAGCCTTTATTTTTTCTTCTTGTCCCCTTAAAAATCCAGATAAGAGGGAAGCAACTGGGGAGGAGGGTGGGAAAGGAGATGAAACAAAGAGAAAACCAGGGCACGCTGATGACTTTCCAAGCCAGAGTTTGTCAGGATGCTCCCAAGGAACACGTTCTGCTGTTGCCTCAACATCTGCAGCCATTTTATTAGTTTGCAAATGATGCCTCAGATTGGGCCCAGGGGTGACAGAAAGTCCTGGCAACCCCTCCTGAAATTAAACCCACCTTCTGCCCCGGTCCCACAGCATCCCCCAAGGACATTGGCCTTGTGTCCCCATCTCCCAGGCTGTCAGCTCAGAGGGGATGCACCAGGAGCATGCATCCGTACATCCATCCCTTCCCATGGGACACCCATTTGCTGGCCACCAGGGATAGAAATACATTGAGTACAATGAGGGGTGCAGAGGAACAGAGGGGAGCTCCATGGTGGGGCATACTAGAAAAGCTTTGGCATAGGAAGGGGGTTAATCATCATTTGGGGGGTATTTTATGGTTGTTTTCCCCTCCAAAGCCCTTCCTGGGCTCTCTTTTAGCGCAGCACCAACGTGCATCCCCCAAAGAGCCCCACAAATCCATTAACTCCTCAACTTTCTCAAGGTGCTTTTATGATTTATGCTCCCCCCCGCTCACTTCCTTGAAGCCTAAAAGGCTCCATCCCAGCAGAGCCCCTTCTCAGGCCGGGATAATGCTTCTCCCCATCCCCATCAGGAATTGCTGGAGCATGACACAGGTATCACACACAAGTACAGACACAAAGAGGCAATCGCAGATGGGAATCTGTGGCTTTAATAAGGGATCTGTACACGGCAGCAGCGCGCTCGGTGGAGCCCAGAAGTTTGCCCCAGCTCCCCCCGACACTGATTTCTTGTGCCATTATCACAACGAATGGAGGGGGGTAAGTGCAGGCAGATGGTGAAGCCCTGATGCTGACGGTGACACACAAAACAGCTCAGGGGTCTCCAAAATCCTTCAATCTCGATGCTTTCAATACAGGGTGGGAAGTAAAATCACCGCATTCCCACTTCCCCGTGCTGTTTGCAGATGTTTCCCAGCCATGGAGAGATGAGGATCATTCTTTTTACTGCTGGTGTGAGGCAAAACCAGCAGGAAGCCACAGGGAGAGCACCTTGCTCTGGCCTTACACGCTGGCACTGGTGGTGGGCAGTTTGGGCAGGTAGAGCTCTCCCTGCTGCAGAAATCCGTGTTATCTGCAGCGGGTGATGTGTCCGGGGCTCTCCTGCCCCTTGGCTTATTGAAACAAGGAGCCCGTGGCCAGTGGGGAGCAGGAGGGGCCCGCTGTTGCGGTGCTCCTCCGGTGCCCATCCAAGTGGCTTCGGGGCTGCCTCACCTGGCTGCGCTGTGCCCTGCCAGGGAAACGACTCCTCTCCCCTGGAAAGGGGCTCTGGGAGGTGGGAAAGGGTAGAGTGGGAAAAGGTGGGAGGTGAGGGTGAGGTGTGAGCATCGAGGGGGGAAAGGGAAAAAACGGGAAAATGGGAAAGAAAAGGGGGAACGAAAGAAGGGAGGAAAAATGAAAGAAAGGGGAAAAAGAGAAAGAAACTGAAAAAAGGGAAAGAACGGGAAAAGTTAAAGAAAAGGAAATAAATGGGGGAAGGGAAAGAAAGGAATGGAATGAAAGAAAGGGAGAAATGAAAGAAGGGAGTGGAAAAAGAAAGAACGGGAGAAAAGGGGGAAAGTAAAAAAAAAAGAACAGGAAAAAGAAAAGAAAGGGGAAAAGGTAAATAAAGGAAAAAGGGAAAGAAATTGGATAAAAGGAAAAAGGAAAGAAACTGGGAAAAGAGAAAGAATAGGGAAAGGGAAAGAAGGGAAAAATAAAATAAATTGAAAGAAAACGGGGGAAAGGGAAAGGAAAAGAAAAGGGGAAAAGAGAAAGGGGGGGAAGAAAAAAAGCTGGGGATGGGAATAAACGAAAAAGGGAGAAAAAGAGGGGAAAGGATGAGGAAAACGAAAGAAATGGAAAGAAGACGAAAGAAATAAAAAAAACGGGAAAAGGGAAAGAAACTGAAAAGGAGGGAGAAAGGTAAAGTAAGGAAAAGGAATGGGGAAAAAAGGGGAAGGAATTTAAAGGAAAGAAAGGAGAAGGAAAAAAAAAGAAAGGCAAAGAAACGAAAACAAAAGGAAGGGAAAGGAAAGAAATGGAGAAATGGGAAAAGATGAAAGAAAGGGGGAAAGGAAAGGGAAGGCAGAGCAATGAAACGAAACAGCACGGGGCTGTGGCGGGATGCACGGACGTGGCTCTGCACACGCGTGTGCAACCACAAACCCCTTAGGACACGGGAATGGGGGGACAGGAGCCCCCCCTCCGGCCCCGTTTCACGCCCCCCCCCCCCCCGTAGCTGCCTCAGCACCGTGTACAGGTTTTATGAAGTTTTTTTTTCCCCTTTTTATGATTTTTTTGCACACAATTTCACGAGCGGCTGCCCCGCAAACAGACCGGGCCCCCCCGCCGCAGCACAGCCCCTGCTCCCCACCGCCCTCCCGGTCCGTTTGTGGCCCGTTTCGTTCCTCAGCGCTGCCCGTGCCACTGCCAACACCTCCCCGTAACTACGCTCCCCAGAGCCCTGCTGCCGGGGGGGGCAGACCCTGTCCATCCATCCATCCATCCATCCATCCATCCATCCATCCATCCACCCATCCTACATCCATCCCTGCATCACTCTGTCCCTCCATCCATCCTTCTGTCCTTCCATCCCTCTATCCCTCTATCCCTCTCCATCCACCGTTGCCTCCCTGCATCTCTCCATTCATTCCTGCATCCGTCCCTGCATCCTTCCCTCCACCCGTCCCTACATCTATCCCTGCATCCTTCCATACCTGCATCTATCCCTGCATCCCTCTATCACTCCCTCCATCCTTGCATCCCTCCATCTCTCCATCCCTTGACCCTCCCGAAACAGCATCCCGGGCTCGATGCAGCGTTTCCCATCCCTCGGACCCAATTCACACCCTCTGGGGCATCTCCCCCTGCCCTGGGCTCGGACTTGAGGGGGCCCGTATCAGACCGGCAAAAACCAACCCTGCCCAGTGGTTTTGAGCTGAATCCCGGGGTTAGCGGGGGAGGGTGATCTGCAGCGCCTGTGCCCGACCCCAGGCACCAGTGCTCCGTGAATGGGGGGAAAACGAATCGCGGTGCCCGAAGGTGGCTGCAAGCGAGTTCGTTTGGGGTTTATTTTCCTTCCCCTTTATTTCCCCTTTTTGTTCTTGTTTTGTCTTAATTCGCTTTGGTTTGTTTTACCTTTTTTTTTCCTTTTGTTTTGCTTTGATTTATTTTGCTTTGCTTTCTTTTCTTTTTTTCCCCAATAAAAATAACCACCTACCAAATTCCCCTCTCCCCGCCCCGGCTCCATCGGGAAAGGAGGAATATTTCGCTATCCTGAGCCTGAAAAACGACCGCAACGAGAGAGAAGGAAATAAAAGAACCCCGAAATCTTTCTCCTCCCTAAAGCGGCCCCGCAGATCGGGTTTAGCTCCGCTGGCCACGAAGCTCCCCGTAAATAAGGAGCCGGCAGATTCTGCATCATCCTTTAATATTTACTCTTTTGAAGGTTAGACAGGGCAGAGGGAACAAACCCCGACTGGGTTTGGGGTTGTTTTTTTCCTATTCCCCTTTTCCATCCTCTTCCCTACCTGGTTTTATGTGGTTTCTGGATTAATCTAGTGCGGAGCAGAAGCGGACTTTACCCGGCCGAAATACAGGATTAGGACTATTTCTAGAAGAAAGAGGACAGTGTGAACTGCCTTTAGCCTGCAATAGTCTAAAGCAGAATTACAGCTTGTAAAATAGGTCTCCATCAGTTTCCCAGGAGACGAGTTAAGCCCTACTTGGGTGTTCCAGCTCTTTTTAGAACCAGCAATAATTAGACTCATCTCACCCCCGAGTTGTCCGGTCCCGGGTTGAGTTGGGTTTTAAAAGATCATCAATAAACGCGCTTTTGCCCGCAATCCATGGGCAGGGCAGGCAGCGGAGAGTTATCCCGCACTTATCCCGCGGTTATCCCGCCGAGGGGGCAGGTTTGGGAGCAGGCAGCGAGCCCTTCTTAACCCTCCCCACCCGAGCTGTGGCACCTTCTTTGTGCTCCCATGGCCATCGCTGAATGACACTGGGGGGGGGGGGGGGACGACGACACTAAATAAGTGTTTTTCCCACCTCTCGGTGAATGGGAAGTCAGGAAAAATAATCATAAACCCCACATATATATGTATTTATATATATAAACGCATATATATATGAGTGAAGGATGGATAGGGGCTCATCTGGGGGCTCAGACCGCTTCCCCCCTCCCCGGCCCAATCGAGCTCAGCCCTCACCAATGCCAGTGCTGGCCCTGGGTCCCCCTGCAAAATAAAGCTGGATTTGTGGGGAATTAACGACCGAAACGGAGCCGAGCGCTCAGCCCCGCGGTTAACGGGAGAAATGAGATCCAGGGACGGGGGGTGCTAAAGGAGATGGGGGTACTTGGCTGCAGGGAGAGGATGGAAAATAGCATGGGGTCGCAGGCAAGAAGTAGTGACCCCCCCCCATTCCCCTGCAGGGAGCGGGGGACACTGCCCGGCCCCGGTGCGGGGTACGGGGCTGTGGCTCGGCTCCCCCCCGGAAGGATGCCCCGAGGTGGCCCCAGGACCGGGCCCTTCATCCCACTCGCGTCCCCCTCCCTGCAGGGGCGACAGGCCTTTAATGACAAGTAATTGGCGAGCGCGCAGAGCTGCATTACGAGCCGGCCGGGCTGTTATGAATTATTGAGAGCCCATTAGTCGCCGAGCGGCTCTTACCGGCGGGATGTGACCCGCCACGGCTGAGCGGGGACGGGGACACGGACATGGGCACGGACACGGACCCACCCGCTCCGGCCCTCACTAAGACCGGCCCCCCGGGCCATACACCCCCCGCGGGAAGCATCCCGGGATCCGCAGCCCCGCATCTTCCCCCCGTGGGCCGTGCCACTCGTGTCCGTGTCCGGTGCGGAGCGGGAGAGCCCCGGGAATGGGATCGCGGCGAAACTCCCGGGTTTTTCCTTATATCGAGGAACTATTTAGGGTTTTCCCTGTATTTTGTTGCCAGGAAGCGGGGCCGGGCCCGCGGTGCCGGCTCTCTGCCGGTGACACGGGAGGAATCACACGGCCGTGGTGACTCCAGCCCGGAACCACAGAGTGCCACGGAGGGAAAAAGTAGAAGGGGAGGGGATGGTTTCAAACTAATACAATTCATAATAATAATAATAATAATGAATAAATAAAGATAAATATTAAACCAAGCAAGTGTCCGGTCGCACGCCTCCAACCCGCCGCCGACCCCGCCACAAGGTTTCCCACCCCGTAGCACCAAGATTTGGTGTTGAACAGGGCAGAAACAGCCCCAGACCCCCCCCTTGTCTCTCCTGTCTGTGCTTTCCCCCAAAAAATAACAACCGGGAGAAGGGAGCCGGCGGGGATGGGACCCCACAAAACCCGCGGGGAGGATCCATGCGGTCCCGCCGCTCCAACGAGCCGGGAAGGAGGAAGAGGAGGAGGAGGAGGATGGACCCGAAGGAGAGGAAAGGGAAGGAACGGCGGGCGTCACCTACCTGCGCCCCGGCCGCCGGCCCGGCTCTGCGGGAGCTGGGAGCATCCCGGCATTTATGGGAGCCGAAACTGTGCTGGTGTTGACTTTAGCACAAAGCAAAGATTTCGCTGCCCGCTAGTTTAAAAATGAATATTTTACCAAGATATCGATCAGCTTTATAAAATTCAGTTAAGCACAATGGCCCGAAAGGAGCGCGGGGGGGGTGGGGGGAGGAAGGAAAGGGACGCAATATAATATCTGTGCAAATTTGCTGAAGTATGACGTGGTGTTGAAAGTTTACCCTCCTGGAATTTGGATCTAGATTCCCCCCCCCCCTTTTCCTTTCTTTGCCCCCCCCCCCCCCGCCTTTTCTTTTTTGTTTACTGACTTTGTTTATTCACAGATCACGGTCGCTTAAACCGACGGGAGCAGAAGCGGTTGCAACGGGGCTGGGGGGGGGCGAAGAGGGGGGGAAACACCGCGAAGAGGCTGGGGAGAAGAAGGAATAACGCTCAGAGTGAGGCTATTTCCTTTTATTCCCCGTCTGCCCCAAGTCCTCCTCCTTGCGTTTCAGCCCGAAACAGGCCAGAGGAAAGGGGGGAAAAGGAAGGAAAAATAAAGGGAACGGGCGGAGGGGGGGAAAGCGGCTTGTGGAGCATCCCAAGGCCGGTACCGGCGGGGCGCGGAGCCCCAACCGGCGGCACCCCCGCGCCCGTGCTCTTCCCTGCGGGAGCCTTTTATGTGCTAATGAAACACATTGCATGCCTTGGTTCACAACGTGTGTGTCCTTCCCGTATAGAGACGGACAGATTTCTGCCTGGATCCCTGTTTTGTTTTTTTTTGGGAAGGGTTTTTTTTTTCCACCCCCCACCCCCTTCCCCCCCCCCCCTTTTTTTTTCCTCCCCTTTTCTCTTCCCGCGGACAATGCGGAATTTTAAGAAGGATTTGAATGTTATTTCGCAAAGCAACGTCTACGAGCGCCGTAAACGCGTGGGAAAACAACAAGTGGTTGGGAAGACGGGAGGGAGGTTGCAGCGGGGAGGGGGCAAAGACATGGAAAATGTGTCTATGGGTGTCTATGGGGCAGCCGGGAGAAGCGGGAGGGGAAGGAGACATAAAGAGCATCCCGGTTTGCCGACGCCAGTTTCGCAAGGTTCCAGGGGTACCCCCCAATTCCCACCGCTCGCATGGTGAGGAGCTGCCCTGATGGGGTCCCCCCCCTGAGCCGAAGGGCTCTTTGCGGGGAGGCAGCGGCTCCCCGACCCCTCCTCATCCCTTCCCCGTGTTGAGCTGCTCCGGGGGGACCCGTCGGGAGCGGAGCGGGCCGGCACCGCACCGTCGGAGCGGCAGTGGGACCCCGGCCCGGCCGAGGAGGAGAAGAAGGAAGAAGCGGGCGAATCCCGGCGGAACAGAGATGCAGGGGGAAAAAAACCGCCAATAACACTTTAATAGAGTTCTGTGAAAATCTGGCTAGTCGCTACCAGAATACACATTTATAAGCCATAAATAAAGCGTACAGAAACGATAAATTAATCAGATCCAAGTAGTTTACTCTCCCGGTAACATCAAGCGTTTGTTTCAATTACAACGATCTATTCTGACTTTTTTTTATTGTTATTATTATAATTTTTCACAATTTTTTTCTATTTTTTTCTTTTCTTTTTTTTTTTTTTACCCCTCTTTTCCCCCTTTTTTACAATATTACAAGACTTTTGGTCCTGGGATTCCAAACTAGCATGGGTTTCACACTGAAGGAGGGTTTCGTTTTGCTTGTGTTTCGTTGTGGTTTTTTTCTTCCCCGTCACTTCCACACAAAAAAATAGATATATTTATACCTCCTTGCGACGACGACAACGAAAAGTAATAAAATAAGCCCAATAGAACCCCCTTTTTCCCATCCCTTCGCCCCCAACCCGTCCCTCCCCACCAAAACCAAGGGAAAACAAGGGAATTGCAGCCCAACCCCAGCACGGGTGGCTTTGGGGGGTGACCCCCCCCGAGATGCTTGCGAGACACACGGCTGCTGTTTCCCGAATGGATGCAAACATCTGGAGCCAATGGAAAAGGAAATAAAAAGAAAATATATAGAGATATATATATGTATATGTACCGTGCTCGAGAGCGTTCATAGTCCACTGCTCTGTCAGGGGCTGCATGGGGGTACCGGGGGCTGCCCCCTCGATGGGGGGGTGGGTTTTCCCCTCGCCCCTTTTAGGAGGAGTTCATGATGGGCCGGGAATACACACCTTGGTAGTAAGAAGTCTCTCCGGCTAAAGGGGAGGACTCTAAGGCGTTTTTGTTCGTTACGGGCCCCATGGCCAGGCTGCCGGGCATGGGCGAGGCGTAGCCCGAGTAGTGCATCACCTGCTCGTAGGCCTTCAGGTCCATTTTGTGGTGGTGGTGGTGGTGGTGGTGAGGGTGGTGGTGCTGCTGCTCGGAGGAGGACATCAGGTTGTTGATGGAGAAGGGGTGGTTGAAGGCGTAGTGGTGCTCGGGCTTGAGGTGGGCGTCATGGGGCAGGCCGGGGTGCGGGGGGGCCAGGAGGTGCTGGGCCGGTGAGGATGCTGGCTCCCCGGGGCTTAACCCTGGTGTCCCCTTCAAGTCAGCCAGGGCTCGCTTGTGGTCCTGGCACGGCGAGGTGCTGGCCGGGGACTCAGCACCGGCAGAGCCCTCGGAGCCCCCCGAGGAGCTGCCTTCCCCCAGGGGCTGGCTTGGGGGCTGCCCCGGCCCCTTCTTGCCCCCACCACCCGCTCCACCGCCCGCCCCACCACTGTCCTTGGAGGCCAACTGCTTCTCGCACTTGAAGCGCTTCTGGCGGCGCAGGTAGCAGCCGTTCTCAAACATGTTGCCCGAATCGGGATGCAGCGTCCAAAAGGAGCCTTTTCCCGGCTTGTCCGGGGAGCGGGGCACCTTGAGGAAGCAGTCGTTGAAGGACAACGAGTGGCGGATGCTGTTCTGCCAGCGCTGCTGGTTCTGGCGGTAGAAGGGGAAGAGGTCCATGATCCACTGGTAGATCTCGCTCAGCGTCAGCATCTTGTTGGGTGACTGCTGGATGGCCATGGTGATGAGGGAGATGTAGGAGTAGGGTGGCTTGGCGTGCGTGTAGCTGCGCCGGTAGGTCTTGGGGTCCCGTGAGCGGTTGAGGTTGGACTGCCCGTAGATGGGGCTCATGGAGTTCATGTTGGTGTAGGGGGCCAGGGCATTCATGGAACCCGCTTGGCCACCCATAGGGCTCATGCTGGGGCTCAGGTGAGTGCCCATCCCTGCCACACCGGCTGAGCCCATGCCAGGCATGGCCCCCGTGCCCGGGGACATGCCGGTGAGCGAGGGGCTCATGCCCGTGTTGGCGTAGGACATGTTCATAGAGGTGGCGGCCGTCATGTTGGCCGTGGTGCTCATGGCCGACATGGTCATGTACGTGTTCATGCTGTTCATGCCCAGCCCCGCGTTCATGTTGCTCACCGAGGAGTAACTCTGCAGGGGCAAGCAAAGAGAGAGGAGGGAGGTTTGGGGCGGGGGGGGGGGGGGGGTAGGACAAGACGGGGTGGCCCCGCCGGGGACGCGGGGTGCCGCGGGGGGACCCCGCAGCCCAGCCCAGCCCGTAGCGCCGCCGGTGAGAGCGTCCGCAGCGCCGGGGCTCCGTGCCCCGCGGGACGGGAAGGGTTAAATCCCGAAGGGGGGGTACGGGGGGGGGGGGGGTGTGGGTGTTTTTCTTGTTAATGAAAAGCAAATATATATTAAATAAACCAAAACAGAACCGGGACGGGGTGGCCGCAGGACCGGCGGCTCCGTCCTGGGAGCGGGACTGGGAGCAAGGGGAAAGGGAGCGAGAGAAATACCTGGAGGAGAGGGAAGGGGAACGGGAGGGGGGGAATAGCGAACTGCAGCCCGCACCCTGCCTGCGCCCTGCCCGCACCCTGCCCGCGCCCTGCCCGCGCCCCGCTCAGCCCTCGCTGCCGAAGTTAACCGTGTCCCTGGGCTGGCACGGCGACGGGGACCCCAGGACCCCCCCTCAACCCCTCAATTCCCGGTCTCCCTTTGCTTACCTCGGGCTCCCCGTAGTAGTTGCTCCAGTCCGTGTGCTCATGGCCTTCCATTTTCACCGCTCCCAGCATACTGGAAGTGGAGTGCATGGCAGTTTAAAATTTAACAGCCACAACAAACGACGACAGAGAGCAACCCCCAAAAAAAAACCGGGGGAAAAAAAAAAGCGCCCAGCCCTCCCTCCCCTCCGACGGAGCCTCTGGAGGAGGAGGAAGAGGAGGGAGGGAGGAAGGGGGGGGGTGTCGAGCGGCGCTGGCGCTGGTTTTTTAATCGCTGCTGCTCCTTGGGTGGGTTTTCGCAGCGCTCCGCGGTGAAGAGTCGCCCGGAGGCGATGGAGGAGCCGGAGGAGGAGGAGGAGGAGGAGGAGGAGGAGGAGGGAGGAGGGAGGAAGAAGAGGAGGAGGAGGAAGAGGAGGACAAGTGCTGCAGTGACGTGGGTGCCCGAGTGATATAGCACGGAGCGGCCGGGCGAGCCTCCAATCCCCAGGTCCTCGGCTGCCCATTTGAATAATCAGCTCACACCTAAGCGGGAGAGGCTCCTCCGCGGCCCCCCGCGCACCTATCCGCACCCCGACGCGCCGGGACGACCCCCCCCCCCCGGAACCGGCTTCCTCCCGGTTTTCAGGGGGATCCAGGGGGAACCGATAGCCACAACCCCCCCTTTTCACCGGGCAGCCTCGAAGGGAGCCGGCCCCCCCCCGGCACCCCCGACGGGAACTGCCACCCCCCCACACCGCAGCCCCGACGGGAGCACCCCCGTCCCGTCCGGTTCCGTCCCCACGCACCTTTCCTCCCCGCGGTGCTCGGCGGAGTCCCAGCCCCGGCCTCAGGCCGCCACCCCGCCGGCCGTGCCCCGGCTCGGCCCCATCGGCGGGCCCGGCAGCCGCCGCTCTGGCTCTTGCCCGGGCTCCGGCTCAGGTACCTACAACAAATTCGTAACTAAAACAAACAGGGAGGGCGGGGAGGATGAGGAAGGGGGGGGGTGGCTCTGCGGGAAGCGCCGTCGGGGGCCACGGGGGCTGCCCCGGCGCCGGGCCGGGAGGAGCGGGGTCCCGGTGGGCGCCGTCGGGGGCAGCGCTGCCGCAACGAGAAGCCCCCGGCAGCCTCGGAAAGGAGGAAGGAAGGAAGGAAATAAGGCCCGACGGACGGACGGCAAAACCCACCCGGCTCCAAAACCCACCCGGCTCCGCTGCCCGCCCCATCTGCGCTGCGGCCGCGTCGGCTCCCGGTGGGGTCCGGCTGGCGGAGCGGGACCGAGCGCGGCTCCTGCCCCTGAGGGAGGGAGCGAGGGTTCCCCTCCACCTTCACCACCTCCTCCTCTTCCTCCTCCTCCTGCTCCACCCGCCCCGGGCCGGGGCCGTGCCTCCCCGGCAGCATCCCTGCCGCACCCCCGGGGGATTGGGGTTCGCCTCTTTCCTAGATCCCCACCTATATCTACCCACCTCCTAAACCCCCCCTAAACCGCCGGGTTCGGTTTGTTTCATTCATTCATTCATCCACCCACTTATTTATCTTTTTTATTTATCGCTCCCGAGAGGGGGATGAACCCGCCCCATCCATCCGCGGCGGCTCGCGATAATTCTTAGATCCTAACCCAAACCCACCGCAGAGCAGGATTCCACCTCCCGCCCTCTGAGGGACCTTACAGCTCCCTCCCAGGGCTCCAGCACCCTCAGGAGTCACCGCCAACCCCGCTTCCAACCAGGAGCGCACTCTCCTATCGCGATAGCCGCGGCGACAGCGGCAACCCGCCTCCCTCCCTCCCTCTCACCGCAGCCCTTTTCTGGCGGTATTTAGGGCTCGGGGGGTTGGATGGGGATGGCCCGAGAGGGGCTGTCTCCGACGGGAGGAGGGGGACACCCCAAAAGCGGGGTGGGAGCGGCGGGCCCCCCCCCGGTCCCGACGGCCAACAGCGGTGGCGGGGCGCCCCCTGTCGCCTGCTGCCGGTCCTCTGGGTCGGGGGGACACCCCTGGGGCTGCATCCCCTGGGGCAGGGGTCTCACTCCATGGGAGCACCCTGCCTGTGCTGGGGGGTGATGATCACCCCCAAGTCACCCACCCAGGGTGGTAGCAGAAAGGGGCTCCCGGGTGCACCCTGGCTCTGCCTTAGGACAGATTCCCCACCTAATGCATCTCCATGGAGCTTCTTGCTCCCTGGAAGTGTCACAAAGCACAAACAGCTCAGAATTCCAGGAGACTTCCATAAAATTAGCGACGTGGCTACTGGACATGATGGAGACCATCAGTTCAGGGATCCTGCCCGCTCAGCTCCCTGCTCACAGCTGACTTTGGACATTTAGGATGAGGTGTGGTTGGCTTTAGCATCGATTTTCCCCTCCGGACGCGAGGTGAGCGTGTGCTTTCAGCATGGCTGGGTTTGGGATGGAAATTCCCAGTGAGCTCCACAGGAGAAGGAGAGAATCCATGGGGAGAACGTCCCTGTGCAATAAAACTGTGCCCTGAGCCTGTCTGGCACCTCTGCATAAGGTGGCACATGTCCTGGAGCTCTATGGGTCCCAGTCTCACACCACTCCTCATGAGGTGCCACTTCCCTCTCAGGTCAGCAATACTTTGAATCCTGCTGCCACTAAAGATGAGGTTTTTCTGCCTCTCATCACACACACACACACACACACACACAGAATGGAAGCTGTGGAGCAGCAAAAGAGAGTTGCTTCCATGAGACTCCTGTTTGCTTGGAGTTTGACCCAAATTGTTCCCTTGAGGATGCTCCTCAGTTACAGAGGACGTTCCTGCTGTTGTTGCTCCAGCCCTGGCGCTTAAATCCAGTTTTGCCTCCCTGGGCTGCTGTTGCACCCTTGTCTGTCATAGGTTTGTGTGTGAAGGGACCTTAAAGCTCCTCCAGCTCCAACCCCTGCCACGGGCAGGGACCCCTTCCACTGGAGCAGCTTGCTCCAAGCCCCTGTGTCCAACCTGGCCTTGAGCACTGCCAGGGATGGGGCAGCCACAGCTTCTCTGGGCACCCTGTGCCAGCGCCTCAGCACCCTCACAGGGAAGAGCTTCTGCCTAAGAGCTCAGCTCAGTCTCCCCTCGGGCAGGTTCAAGCCATTCCCCTTGGCCTGTCCCTACAGGCCCTTGTCCCAAGCCCCTCTCCAGGTTTCTTGTTGGCTTCCTTAAGAGGGAAGGGTGAAGATGGGGTGTGGGAACTGCCCTGTGCCACGCACTGCCACTAGTAAACCTTGCTGCCTTTATTCCCAGTTCATTCCCTTAGGATCCCTGGAAGATGCTCTTTGTGACATGGTTTAGTGGTGGCCTTTACAGTCCAGGGGTAAAGGTTGGACTTGATGATCTCAAAGGTCATTTCCAACCTTGTTGATTCTGTGATTTTAAGGCCAAGGGGCTCTGCTGGGCTGGGAGCATCTCCAGGAGCTTCCACTCAAACAAGCAGAACAGACAACTGGAGGAAGAAGAGGAGGATGAGGACGATGATTCCCATTTCTGAACTGGGGAAACACACTGGAGAGAGGTTGAGCATCCTCCCCAAAGCCCTCCAAGGTAGCCACATGGCAGTGCCTGGCTCTCCAGCATGGCCCAATCCCAAGGTCACATTCAGGATCCGGTGGGCTATCCCCCTCCTGAGGATGCTTCCATCATTTCTATGGGGCCACGTCAGGAAACAATATCCTTTGCTCATTGATGGGATCCTTTCCTTATTCAGGGATTTAGATGGGAACCACTGGAAAAAGTGGAATTCCATGGTGGGAAGTGCTTTTCCCCCATCCATGGAGTCACCTACACATGAAAACAGGTGTCGCCAGCTGCGGCACCACTGGGAATTACCACAATTACACCGTGTAATGTTGACTTAACTATTTGAAGAACTCAAGTTCTCTCCTAATTAGATTCTACACTTAATGGGGCTTCTTAATCCATGAAAATATTTTCCAAGGCTTTAACCAGTCTAACAAAGGAAGAACCAGGAATGCACAGGATCTGTGTCATTTTTGATGTATGATCTGAGCCCAAGGATATCATAGAACCAGGGAGTGGGTTGGGTTGAAGGGACCTTAAAGCTCATCCAGTTCCAGCCCTTGCCAAGGGCAGGGACACCTTCCATTAAAGCAGCTTGCTCAAAATATGTGTTTTAACACTGGAATGATATTCCCATGTTCTCAGGTACCCCATCACAAACTCACTTCATCCCCAGTCATCCCCAAGGATCTGGCCAGTCGGGACATGGCTGGCATCCCTATTTCTGGCATCTTCAGTCCTCCAGGTGCTATTTTAACCTTCCTCCCCACTCTGTAATTATTCAATGTGCCAGTTGAAGGGAACCAGTAGCTGGAATCAGCGGTTGGCACCACAGGGTAAAATAAAACCCTGAAAGTGCCTGAAGAATGTGCTGGGGAGAGGAAATAAGGTTCCATTATTGTCCTATCTCGGGGATGGGGAGGTCCCCCCAGCCCACCGGCATCACTGGGATGCTCAGGGAGTGGTGGCACCACTATGGATGGGGACAACAAGCTCCTGAGAGGCAACTGGGAAACCTGAGGACATTTGATAATAGGCAAGGACAGCCCAAAGCAGGGACCTCCCTGGTCCATGGCACCCAGGGATGCTGCGATGGGCACCGGGGCTGCTGGCATTGGGCATCTACCACTGTGTAGGACACGGGTGTGGGCAAAACCCCCCTCCAAGGAGCCCACCATCAGAACGGTGCCTTCTGGCAAGGCTCTGGAGCAGAACAAACAGAGTGCATCTGCTGGCTGTTTACCGTGGCCCACGTGATGCCCCGGCGCTGGTTTGCTCCACGAGCACATTCTGCTGGGTAAACAAGATGCGCAGGCATCTGGAATGATGTCCAGGGGAGGGAGAGGCCTTGGTGTGGGAAGCCTGGAGTTAAGGATTCACCCCAGCCCTGCTTTCACGTGGTGGAGGGAGAAGGAGGTGCTGAGGGCGATGCCCAGTGATGCCAGCTGTCCAGATGGAAAAGCAAAGCAGGAGAAGTCTTCTTCCCATCCCAGGAAAGTCCTGCCATGGATGTCTTCTTTAGCTGAGGCCCCAGAAGGCCCTGGAAGCCTGGGGAAGTTTTACCTGACCAAAGTATTCAGGTTTTGGTTTCACTTTTTTTATGAAGGGGAAATATTTTTTCACGTTTAATGATCAGTTTCTGAAAACTGAAATGTCTTTGGTTTTACAATAAAAAAACAAACACTTGAATACAGAGACTCCTCCCAAAGCCTCTGCTTTAAAAACTCCCCTGTTATTTCCTAACAAAACCCCTTTTCTGCTGGAAACCTTCCAGCCTGGCAGGCTCTGAAGGTGCTTCAGTTCCAAAAGGGGCTGCAGGAGGAGGAACGCAGCAGTTTTCATTATGGAGTGGGATAAAGCAACCCCACTGCAGCCCAAGGGGGTCCAGGGCATCGCCCAAGGTCCAGAGCATCATCCCCATTGCTTTAAATCATAGAACCCCAGACTGGTTTGTGTTGAAGGGACCTCAAAGCTCACCCAGTCCCAACCTCCTGCCACGGGCAGGGACCCCTTCCACTGGAGCAGCTTGCTCCAAGCCCCTGTGTCCAACCTGGCCTTGAGCACTGCCAGGGATGGGGCAGCCACAGCTTCT